ACGCTCTTGGTCAAGGTTATGGTCGGGATCAACCTCACAACTGTATTTTCCAAATGTTTTCGCTAATCAAATTGCTTTCAACGTGTTGAAAGAGGTTTTGAAATAGCCTACAAGGAGAAAGTCAAGGTAATGGTGATAGTCAAGCTCATTTTTATACTGAAAACGAAAAATCAGGCAATTTTACGCCCCAAAGTTAGCTTGACCTCAAATAAGATTTAATCGTGACACGACCTTGACTTTCAGATCGAGATCACATTCAAATGTAAACTTTCCTACTTTTCCATTTCCAGTATGAAAATGAGAGGTCTCCTTTAGAAATGACGACTTGACCTTGAAGCTCATCGTCAAGGTTATGGTTAAGGCCAACGTCACAACTGTGTTTTCGAAAATTGTTGCTAAAGCAAATTGTTTTCAACGTCTTGAAAGAGACCTTGAAATGATCTTGACAGGAAAAGTCAAGGTTATCGTGTTAGTCATGCTCATTTTTATACGGGAAGAGAAAAAGCAGGCAATTTTACGATTGAAAGTTATATTAACTTTAAATAACACTTAATTATGACACGACCTTGACTTCCAGGTCAAGGTCACATTCGGACGTTTCTTGCTTTTCCATTTCCAGTATGAAAATGAGAGGTCTCATTTAGAAATGACGACTTGACCTTGAAGCTCATGGTCAAGGTTATGGTCAGGGCCAACCTCACAACTGTATTTTCCAAATGTTTTCGCTAATCAAATTGCTTTCAACATGTTGAAAGAGGTTTTGAAATAGCCTACAAGGAGAAAGTCAAGGTAATGGTGATAGTCAAGCTCATTTTTATACTGAAAACGAAAAATCAGGCAATTTTACGCCCCAAAGTTAGCTTGACCTCAAATAAGATTTAATCGTGACACGACCTTGACTTTCAGATCGAGATCACATTCAAATGTAAACTTTCCTACTTTTCCATTTCCAGTATGAAAATGAGAGGTCTCCTTTAGAAATGACGATTTGACCTTGACGCTCTTGGTCAAGGTTATGGTCGGGATCAACCTCACAACTGTATTTTCCAAATGTTTTCGCTAATCAAATTGCTTTCAACGTGTTGAAAGAGGTTTTGAAATAGCCTACAAGGAGAAAGTCAAGGTAATGGTGATAGTCAAGCTCATTTTTATACTGAAAACGAAAAATCAGGCAATTTTACGCCCCAAAGTTAGCTTGACCTCAAATAAGATTTAATCGTGACACGACCTTGACTTTCAGATCGAGATCACATTCAAATGTAAACTTTCCTACTTTTCCATTTCCAGTATGAAAATGAGAGGTCTCCTTTAGAAATGACGACTTGACCTTGAAGCTCATCGTCAAGGTTATGGTTAAGGCCAACGTCACAACTGTGTTTTCGAAAATTGTTGCTAAAGCAAATTGTTTTCAACGTCTTGAAAGAGACCTTGAAATGATCTTGATAGAAAAAGTTAAGATAATGGTGTTAGTCATGCTCATTTTTATACGGTAAGAGAAAAAGCAGGCAATTTTACGCCTGAAAGTTATCTTAACTTTAAATAACACTTAATCATGACACGACCTTGACTTCCAGGTCAAGGTCACATTCGGACGTTTCTTGCTTTTTCCATTTTCAGTATGAAAATGAGAGGTCTCCTTTAGAAATTACGACTTGACCTTGAAGCTCATGATCAAGGTTATGGTCGGGATCAACCTCACAACTGTGTTTTCAAAATGTTTTCGCTAATCAAATTGCTTTCAACGTGTTGAAAGAGGTTTTGAAATGGCCTACAAGGAAAAAGTCAAGGTAATGGTGATAGTCATGCTCATTATACTGAAAACGAAAAATCAGGCAATTTTACGCCCCAAAGTTAGCTTGACCTCAAATAAGATTTAATCGTGACACGACCTTGACTTTCAGATCGAGATCACATTCAAATGTAAACTTTCCTACTTTTCCATTTCCAGTAAGAAAATGAGAGGTTTCCTTTAGAAATTACGACTTGACCTTGAAGATCATCGTCAAGGTTATGGTCAGCGCCAACCTCACAACTGTGTTTTCGAAAATTGTTGCTAAAGCAAATTGTTTTCAACGTCTTGACAGAGACCTTGAAATGATCTTGACAGAAAAAGTCAAGGTTATGGTGTTAGTCATGCTCATTTTTATACGGGAAAAGAAAAAGCAGGCAATTTTACGCCTGAAAGTTATCTTAACTTTAAATAACACTTAATCATGACACGACCTTGACTTCCAGGTCAAGGTCACAGTCGGACGTTTCTTGCTTTTTCCATTTCCAGTATGAAAATGAGAGGTCTCCTTTAGAAATTACGACTTGACCTTGAAGCTCATGGTCAAGGTTATGGTCGGGATCAACCTCACAACTGTATTTTCCAAATGTTTTCGCTAATCAAATTGCTTTCAACGTGTTGAAAGAGGTTTTGAAATAGCCTACAAGGAAAAAGTCAAGGTAATGGTGATAGTCAAGCTCATTTTTATACTGAAAACGAAAAATCAGGCAATTTTACGCCCCAAAGTTAGCTTGACCTCAAATAAGATTTAATCGTGACACGACCTTGACTTTCAGATCGAGATCACATTCAAATGTAAACTTTCCTACTTTTCCATTTCCAGTAAGAAAATGAGAGGTTTCCTTTAGAAAATACGACTTGACCTTGAAGATCATCGTCAAGGTTATGGTCAGCGCCAACCTCACAACTGTGTTTTCGAAAATTGTTGCTAAAGCAAATTGTTTTCAACGTCTTGACAGAGACCTTGAAATGATCTTGACAGAAAAAGTCAAGGTTATGGTGTTAGTCATGCTCATTTTTATACGGGAAAAGAAAAAGCAGGCAATTTTACGCCTGAAAGTTATCTTAACTTTAAATAACACTTAATCATGACACGACCTTGACTTCCAGGTCAAGGTCACAGTCGGACGTTTCTTGCTTTTTCCATTTCCAGTATGAAAATGAGAGGTCTCCTTTAGAAATTACGACTTGACCTTGAAGCTCATGGTCAAGGTTATGGTCGGGATCAACCTCACAACTGTATTTTCCAAATGTTTTCGCTAATCAAATTGCTTTCAACGTGTTGAAAGAGGTTTTGAAATAGCCTACAAGGAAAAAGTCAAGGTAATGGTGATAGTCAAGCTCATTTTTATACTGAAAACGAAAAATCAGGCAATTTTACGCCCCAAAGTTAGCTTGACCTCAAATAAGATTTAATCGTGACACGACCTTGACTTTCAGATCGAGATCACATTCAAATGTAAACTTTCCTACTTTTCCATTTCCAGTAAGAAAATGAGAGGTTTCCTTTAGAAATTACGACTTGACCTTGAAGATCATCGTCAAGGTTATGGTCAGGGCCAACCTCACAATTGTGTTTTCGAAAATTTTTGCTAAATCAAATTGTTTTCAACGTCTTGAAAGAGACCTTGAAATGATCTTGACAGAAAAGTCAAGGTTATGGTGTTAGTCATGCTCATTTTACGGGAAGAGAAAAAGCAGGCAATTTTACGCCTGAAAGTTATCTTAACTTTAAATAACACTTAATCATGATACGACCTTTACTTCCAGGTCAAGGTCACATTCGGACGTTTCTTGCTTTTTCCATTTCCAGTATGAAAATGAGAGGTTTCCTTTAGAAATCACGACTTGACCTTGAAGCTCATCGTCAAGGTTATGGTCAGGGCCAACCTCACAACTGTTTTCGAAAATTGTTGCTGAAGCAAATTGTTTTCAACGTCTTGAAAGAGACCTTGAAATGATCTTGACAGGAAAAGTTGAGGTTATGGTGTTAGTCACGCTCATTTTTATACGGGAAAAGACAAAGCAGGCAAGTTTACGCCTGAAAGTTATCTTAACTTTAAATAACACTTAATCATGATACGACCTTGACTTCCAGGTCAAGGTCACATTCGGACGTTTCTTGCTTTTTCCATTTCCAGTATGAAAATGAGAGGTCTCCTTTAGAAATGACGACTTGACCTTGAAGCTCATGGTCAAGGTTATGGTCAGGGCCAACCTCACAACTGTATTTTCCAAATGTTTTCGCTAATCAAATTGCTTTCAACGTGTTGAAAGAGGTTTTGAAATAGCCTACAAGGAAAAAGTCAAGGTAATGGTGATAGTCATGCGCATTTTTATACTGAAAACGAACAATCAGGCAATTTCACGCCCCAAAGTTAGCTTGACCTCAAATAAGATTTAATCGTGACACGAACTTGACTTTCAGATCGAGATCACATTCAAATGTAAACTTTCCTACTTTTCCAGTTCCAGTATGAAAATGAGAGGTTTTCTTTAGAAATTACGACTTGACCTTGAAGCTCATCGTCAAGGTTATGGTCAGGGCCAACCTCACAACTGTGCTTTCGAAAATTGTTGCTAAAGCAAATTGTTTTCAACGTCTTGTAAGAGACCTTGAAATGATCTTGACAGGAAAAGTTAAGTTTATGATGATAGTCATGCTCATTTTTATACGGGAAAAGAAAAAGCAGGCAATTTTACGTCTGAAAGTTATCTTAACTTTAAATAACACTTAATCATGACACGACCTTGACTTCCAGGTCAAGGTCACATTCGGACGTTTCTTGCTTTTTCCATTTCCAGTATGAAAATGAGAGGTCTCCTTTAGAAATGACGACTTGACCTTGAAGCTGATGGTCAAGGTTATGGTCAGGATCAACCTCACAACTGTGTTTTCAAAAATTTTTGCTAGAACATTGCTACCAACGTCTTGAAGGAGACGTTGCAAAGTCAAGGTTATGGTGATACTGTGACCAAACGTTTACCCTTCTTTTCAGTTCCGATGTAGCTATATTTGAAAATATTTATTTGACCTTGAAATGACCTCAACTATCATGATCAAGGCCATTGTCAAGGTCACCGTCATTTTGCCTCTACAAGTGTTGTTTGAAACTTTTTTTGCTAAGATGCGTAGTTTTCGAAATGTTTACGTGGAAAGATTAGAATGGGACGCCCTGTATACAAAAGAAGAACATAAAGTGACACTCACTTTGGCAGAATGGTGTGTTTTTTCCGCGGAAACTCCGTCCATCTCCAATTTGGCACGAATAGCGGCGGCAGCTCTGTTTTCTTCGTACGACATGTCGCCTGCCTGCAGTTTCTTCATGTCGGCACATTTTGCACTTTCCTTTTCCGCACTAATACCGTCTTTTAATACCTGTAACAAATGAAAAACGTGTTATACAATATAGGTAAATTCAAGCATTCGTTACTCTAGATAAGTACATATTATTTTTCACAGTAAGAACAATTTAAGCTCATATTTCTATGTGATCAAGTCGTATAATTTTTGTTAAAATTGTCATTTAGGAACAATATTCCACCAGCATTATAGAAAAGGGCCTGAAAAATCCAACTGATTCATACAAGACCCCAGAGTTGCAAGACAATGACAGGAAGAATAAGCTGTTTTGTTAGAGCGCATGCGTCCGATCAACGTTTCTCTTGTTCTTCCTGACTGTAAAACGCGTATATGAAATCCAATGTTCATCTATCTTTGCTACATCTACTGTATTATTATATTTATTGTTAAGCTGACCTGAATACTATTAGTGACGACAGATGGAACATACGGTTTCAGAAACATGATTTTCATCAGATTCTTCGCGATAGTCACTGCACGTAACAAGAAACCATGTATCGTACAATGCGTGTTTATCAAAAGTCAGTCCGCAAAATACAAATTTACCAAACTGATTACATTATACGGTTCATTTAAATACAATCGTCATTGTTAACAAGGGACTATGTATCCTATCAGGTGAGAATAAATTGGAAAATGGCGTCGAGTAGGTTGAGAGCGCAGGTAGCAGGACACGTGTACCAAAAACAAAACAAAGTTTTAAAGTTAAATGTAGAACGTGCTTATAATTCCAATATAAATATATAAACATGAAAAAATTGAGATAAACTCGACCCCCAACGCCTCATTTTTAACACCTACAATTTTTTTTCTGAAAAAAAACGAAGTTTGAGCGATTTTTATTGCCCTACTGGTAGTTACCGACCATGTGGCAACGTTGTCCCTTTCCACATCTGCGCGGCATCTCTGCAGCGAGTTATCTTTTACTACAAAATGGTCGTACATTTAATAATTACCTGAATACAAACCCACTAACGTGCATATCTCTATAAATAATTGTAACTCCCTGCCGCATTCACAACAACAGCAATAAAAACTTGTTTTGTTATTTGTGTGGATAGATGTATGATGTGTGAAATATGGCTGATTAAGGATTATGTCCGGTGGATACGCGATCTAAGATGTAAGAAATTTGACTAATAAGAATGATAAAACATCGCCAACCCCACACTCAAGTTTTTACCTCTAATTTTATTTTAAATCATCAGGATCTTTTAAAAAGTCAAAAAAACGAAGTTTGACCGATTCTAATTTTTTTCGTTTTCGGTCTTTTTCTCCGCCACTACTACACCGATTTTCAAACTGCAAAGCATAGTTGTAATTTTGTGTGAAAATTTCATGAAAATCAAGTTATAGATGGTTCTAAAATTAGCAGACATACCAACGGATATGAGTGACATGATTTTCCATGATGTACATATCATATAACCTCCAAAAAAATACTAGAGGTCCATCATTCGTCTCACACATTATACAAGGTGTCCCAGAAGTCGACGTCAAGCCGAAACCGGGTGATAGGCAAAGCCATAACAGCTATCAGAAAAATATTTAAAAACATTTTATGTATGTGTTTTGAAAATTATAGGTCTTTGAAAAAGATATAGAAATTTCACACCCTACGGCAGTCTGTCAACTCCTGTTACTACAAATATTAACTTTTTTTGGATTTTAGTTTTACAATGTAATGATGAATAATGCATCTTCAAACTGGTGTCTCAACCTTACTGCCAACTTTTCTCGTTCAGGAAAAATTGCCACTTATTTCCCAACCAAGTATTCCAAAGTAAAACTTTGATCAACTTTAACTGGCTGTACTGGAAAAAATGTACTACGAGAGTTTGGCAAGTAACCTTAAGAGTTGGCGTATTTAATAAGGATTCCAAAATGGTATAACACTTAGAAGATTACTCGTTAACTTATGCACAATTTTTATTTGAAGAAAAACTGATGAAAATTTTTCAAAATTTCCTAATTAAACAGCGATTATGAAAACGCACAAGAACCCTTAAGGATAACTGTTTGCACAACAGTGGGTGTCAAAATGCTGCTGATGATGATTTACCTTTATAGCAAATGCTCAAACTGTTTTCCTTCAGCCACAATACACGCTCGACATCTTCTTAAAAAAGACCGGGTTATTAAACGAGCGAATCCATGGTTATTAACAAACTCAGCTGCTTCTTTGCCGTAGCTCAGCTACATTTTGAATCGGCTTGAAATACACTTTTTCTTTTACAGTTCCCCAGTAAAAAAATCTAAAGGATTCAAATCAGGTGATCGGGCTGGCCACGGTATTGTACCAGACCGCCCTATCCATCTGCCTGGAAAGTTTTGATCGAGATACTCTCTCACTGAGAGTGCATAGTGCCCTGGGCAGCCATCATGCTGAAACCACATGTCCCTGTAAATACTCAGTGGCACGTCCACCAATAAATTTTATACATGATTTATCAAAAAATCCAAATAAACTTCAGCAGTCAAGTCTCTGGGAACTCAAACGGACCGATTATTTTACCATTTAAAATTCCTGTCCAATGGTTTATCTTGAAGCGATATTGAGATTTATCTTCTCTCATCAAATGTGGGTTTGCTACGTGCCACTCGTGTAAGTTATGCACGTTCATGTACCCATCTTTCTTAAATGTGGTCTCATCCGACCAAAAAATTTGTTCAAAGAACTGTGGATCTTTCCTGTGTCTTTCTAACATTGTGCGACAAAAAGCAACTCGGGGCTCATAATCCCGGGGCAGGAGAGGTTGAACACGCTGTATGTGCAAACAGTTATCCTTAAGGGTCCTTGTGCGTTTTCATAATCGCTGTTTAATTAGGAAATTTTAAAAAATTTTCATTAGTTTTTCTTCAAATAAAAATTGTGCATAAGTTAACGAGTAATCTTCTAAGTGTTATACCATTTTGGAATCCTTATTAAATGCGCCAACTATTAAGGTTACTTGCCAAACTCTCGTAGTACATTTTTTTCCAGTTAAAGTTGAGCAAAGTTTTACTTTGGAATACTTGGTTGGGAAATAAGTGGCAATTTTTCCTGAACGAGAAAAGTTGGCAGTAAGGTTGAGACACCAGTTTGAAGATGCATTATTCATCATTACATTGTAAAAAAAAATCCAAAAAAAGTTAATATTATTTGCAGTAACAGGAGTTGACAGACTGCCGTAGGGTGTAAAATTTCTATATTTTTTTCAAAGACCTATTATTTTCAAAACACATACATAAAATTTTTTTAAATATTTTTCTGATAGCTGTTATGACTTTGCCTATCACCCGGTTTCGGCTTGACGTCGACTTCTGTAACACCCTGTATAATAATAGTGACCAATTTCTCAAACTAGGTAAGTAATGTACTATTTCAAACCACAATGGTAAACGGTAGAAATAAGAATGTATGAATAATACAATCTTAATAACAAACAAATGAATCTGGACTAATCACCAACATGACATGGTTCGACTCATTTGAAATCTGCATACAATTTCATATAAATCCTCCTACAACTCACAAATATGTATTGTAACATTCATAGACAAGTCTATGCTTGAAAACAATAACAGACCATCCTTATGTTTGTTTCTACGCGGCGTAGGTGGCTTTCAGGATATGCACTTTTGTTTTTCTTGCAGGTGTACATACAATGAGAACCAAATGTGTCTGACGGCTTGAGTTCAACATGTACGAGCGAGAAGTGTGTATAGAGACATATGTTAGAAAGAGACAGAACCCGCCAATTCCTTGAAACATGCGTTAATTTATTCTCAAATGGTTTTACTTTGAGCGTACGCTTTTTTGAATTGTGTATTGTGTCGGATCTGTTCAGGATCGATTCCGAATCTATTCCAACGGCGCTCCAGTTTAGGTCAAAATGAAAGGTCGGGATCCTCACAAATTCTACAACATCGCATCATTTGTTCGCTTGGCAACACCGCATCTCGTGTATTCCAAGGCAAGGTTGACACCTCCGCGATCATAGATAAGCGATTTTGGTCGGTATCAAAGATAATTTTGAAATAAATAAAAACCCTAAATCGCATCTAAATTGAAACAAATAATTCCGATCGAAATGAAAACTAAAGTTCGAACGGACCTCCTTCTTGGGTTTGACAGTAACTTCAGCCGACTTCCATCTTTTTCTAACATGTTTTGATATACACTTCTCGCTCTTCTCTCTCATACACATTGAACTCAAGTACAAATTTGGTTTTCCTGTATACATAAATTGTTCGAGGAGTACAGGAGTTCTTTCAGCAAATGTGGGCCGAATACGTTTTTTCAGTTAGCATGCAAGAAGATGTACGGGTATTTTCCATAATATTTGCGGGAATATCGATACCAAAAGCGTAGGACCATATTTGACAACTGGATGTGAATCATTCTGGCATCTATTTAAGTGCACCCTAGTACTCAGTCTGTGCTGTTGACACTAGTGAAATTTTTAAACTCTCTAGAACTGTCAAAATTATTTATACCGAATATTCATTAAAGTTTGTTTAATACCTTATTACTATATCATGGTAGTACATGCACGTTTCGTTGCACCCTAGATGATTACTCATTATTAAAAGTCACTATAAAATTCGTATAAAAAAGGCAGACAGACAATAAAGTGCATCTATAAAAATATATGTATAATATAGCTACTGTTCTACTGTTTACATTTACCGGTTCTCATTTGCAAAACAGGCCGCACCTTGACAGTTTAATCGCATCGCATAAAAATGTTAAATGCAGTCTAGAATTGATGGCTCAAACAAACACATAAATCAATCGTTATTCAGGATCATGAGTATGTTTATAGTCAGACGTAAAGCTTTAAGGGATGCTGAAGTTTTTGTATTTTACGGCAACATTTTTGAATAGTTTAGCAAACAACATATTTAGAGAGATGAAAATCATCGTCGGCATTTGGCGGCGCCGAGTGAACCAACCGGATTGGTAAGGAATAGAGGAGATGCGCGTTCGAATTCCGCCGTCGCCCATTTTTCCTATCTCTCAAGTTGTTGTT